ACATTTTGAGTAAATCAAAAAAAACAAAATAACTTTCCCATTTTTCAATCTATTTCAAAAATTTTTTTATCTAGATTTATCTTATCAAATTTTTAATTATTTTAGGATATCTATAACTTCCAAATTCTATTTTATATGCGCTAAAATTGACTTAGGCATTTTTTTATTCCCGCACCCTGAGTTAGGCAATATTATTCACATCTTCGCCCTATATTTTCTCTGTACATTCGCTTGACCTATATACTTTGTAAACGTCCATTCGGCAAATAATGAGAGAGTGACTTCCATTAAATTAATATGACACGAAAGCCAAGTCAAAATTCGATATTCCTCCTTAATCATAATTTGGCTTTGATGAACATTAGAATAGATGTCAGCCCACAGGCCAGATGTATTGTATTCAATTGATACAAGGAATGTAAAATTTCACAACTCAAGCAACAAACAATATAATAGAATCAAAACATAAATAACTCTTTTGAACCTAAAACATCAACATAAACAAACAACTGTAATCATGAATTTATAGTAGTATACTTCATTTAAGTTTGTATAATCTACTCGTGAGGAAGGTTGTCATAAAAAGGATGACAGTCAATTGGCATAATTGATTTCATTTCTTGAAGATCATTAAATTTCCTTGCACAAACTGGAATACGAGATCTGAACATTGGCACCCATTGACTTTGAACATTCTGTACACGGTGTGGTAGCGCTTTCCAAATTGCTTTCTCAAACGAAAGCTTGTAACGAATACTACCATCACTTTCGTACTTCAGGGCACGCAAATCATGCACTCTGGGATCTCCTACTCTTTTTCCGGGTCTAATGCTTTGAAGGAACAATTGATTCATTCTTTTGAAATCAGTGTGCCTCATTTGGCGAACATGATAGGGTGATGGATGGATTCTTGCGGATTCCATAAGTACGATCAAATCTCTTTCAGAAAAAATGTCGCCTACGATCTTTCGTTCAATGACGCTGTGCATCGAGTCACATTCCATTTGTGTATGTCCAGCCACCAAAAATTTTTGCTCTATATCTATGTTGTAAGTTCTTGCCAGACTAGAATATGCATTGGCTACCGTGCTATTCCTATTTTGGTAACCACATCCATCGCTCCAAACTATGATATGCTTCAGCTCGGGATTATTACAAATGATTCGCTTAAAATGCTCAAACTGCAAGTAAGCAAATACTTCACTAGAAAGATTGCCTTCAGTTTCATTCCAGACGTAGCAGTAACCTGCTTTTGATTTCGTATCATATAAAGTGAAATTGTGTACCTGTAGCTTAGTTCTGTAATATGAGGTACTAGCTCTCGTTCTAGGACATAAAAGCACGGCCTGTAGATCCATCGTCCAAACGGATTTATTTGCACTTGCAGAATCTTTGTCGGTTATTATTTCTTTTCTAGCATCATCCTTCAGTTTGATATGCAAGCTATACTCAACTGTACTCATGTTACCATGTTTGTAACCTACACACTTATCACACTGATCCTTTCGGGGAATGAAAACTGAGTATTTATATCTGTGGAAAATCTCGTTGAAATAAGCTTCACTAACGACCCTCCTGTTTTCTTCCTCTGCAACATTTTGGTAATGTCTGTGGAGGGCAGATATTGTGGTGCCTGGATACAAAAATTTTATGTTTCTGTAACTTGGCAATTTTCTGCAATAATGGGAGTCTACAGTTGGTAGTGTGCTGAGCCACTCTTTTATAAACTCTCTATCCCTTTCACTTACTTTTGCACACTTTCCACTTTTCGGACCTGCTTGAACAACAGCTGTTTGGTTAGAAGAGGTTTTATCTTTAATCCAAGATACCAAAGTTCTGCAAGGCATCCCAAACGTGGAAGCAAACATTTCTTTGCAGACTGGCAGCTCAGAACCATTCGAAAGCTTTAGTTTGTAAACATATGAAGATTTTCTCCTAGATACACCGGATGATCTTTGTTGTTTAACCTCATGTGTCCCAACCAGAGTATTTATGAATATTTTGCGTTCATTCCAAGTCGTCATAGACCAAAATTTAATGAACATAGCAAGTCTTTGATCTTCATCTACAACGTTACACTGGCGAGTTTTGACTTTGCTACAGAATGCAGATCTACATGGTGGCCCTGGTTGACGATTGGGCACATTCTTTCCTTTCCAGTTTCTATATGATTTTCCACGGAGGCGCCTGATTTTTCCTTTATTTTGTTTCCATTTATCGTGCACTGGTCTCTTTTCTCGGTTAGGTGAGGGCTCGTCATAGGTTTCAATAGTGCCATCTGATCTTGTAGAGCCTTCATTGGTATTGTTCGAAATACTCGTCGTGTCCAGATTATCGAGACTTACATCAATATCCAGTATTTCGTGGAACGGTAAATAGCCACTTTCACTATATATAAATATGCATCGGAATCCCCCTCGAAACCATCGAGCTGAAGCTCTATAAAACTTCCAACTTCATTCACCTCATCTGTGAAAATTAAATACGAATATATATTAGATCGCTCGCTACTATCGCCGTATAAATCCGCATTTTTGGCGTTCAATAACTTACCACGTGTGACACTATCATTTACAGAAGCATTTCCAAGTAGAGCATAGTTTCTCAGCTTCCTGGACTCCATACTGTTAATATTCGACCACTACAATTACTTGCCGGTAGCGTCCAGATGTTGAAATAAATATATATTTTAGTACACCCTACTTGAACCAGAAAGCGTTGCTAGTCGAAGAGTGTCGTAACGACACCAGAACGTACAAAAACTGGATGCGGACAGGCGTGTTTAAATGTGCCTATCTCAATTATAGTCAGTTTAGGCAAAACCAAAATCTGCCCAAGTCCACTTCCTGAGATAGGCAGATTCGTTTTTGCCCCCTAGCGGCTGATTTATACCAGATATGAATGTTTAAATAACATAGAAAGATAGATCTTTCCCCAACGAATCCAGCGATACCAAAATCTCAAAATCGACAAAAAGTGACTTAGGCAATTTTTTTATTAGTGTGACGATATCATATAAGTAATCACCCCGAGCGAGCATGATAAAAACCACTACTTCTGTTGAAATTAGCTGAGATTAAGCCGGCTTAGCCATTTTTGTAGCTGGTGAATGTATAACGATTTTAAACTTGAATCAACTAATTTATCGAATCACCCGAGAAGACAGGGTTCGGTGTCGATTGTCTAGCACGCGACACACATGTCGCCAAGTGCTGTCGCCCCAAGTGCTGCACACACATCTGCTATCGCCTCATGCTAAAATATGATAACGAATGCTACTTTCATTGAACAAGCCTGGGAACTAGGTATCCGCGACATAGTTAATTTAATCCACAAATGCAAATAAACAGTTGCAAAGAATGTTCACGAGGTGAAAAGGCGTTTTCAGTGTTCGGCTTAAAGTATGACTAAATACCTGAGCAGCTTAGTCTACTTTCATCTTCTTTCTAAGTTTTAAATTGAAATGTTCCACCGGAGGATCAACGTTTGGACGGTTTTTCAATGTTTTAGTCCGAAACATGCTTATTCCATAATCCAGTAATACGTCCTCACCCGAAAACGGTCAGGTCAGAGGACGATCAGATATTCTGAGAAATATTTCGAGCAACATTAGCTGCGTTTTAATATTATGGTTACTTGCAATTTATAATGAATGACTATATATTTTTTTCATTTCATTATCATTTTTTGACTAATTTCAACCTCATCAAGATTGCACTCTTCTTGAAAACGTTCGCTGTTCAAATATTATTTACGTTTTACAAGGTAGATGTTTCCTAAACCACAAACGTTATTCATCCAATGCCGGGAATGCAGACATTTTGTTTAAAACTAATAAATATTTTTGGAATTCATTTGCAGACAACATTCAAAAGCAGACATAAATTTAATAAGTAGGTAGAATGTTCTTTAATTTGAAAGATATTACACACGATATAAACAATTTACGTGGGCTGCTAGTGATGAAGATTTGGCTTACTGTCACGAAGCTCGAGTAGGGTTTTGTTCAGCCGAGATATCAGATAGACGTTTTGAGTAAGAAAAATCATAAAAATTAGCTCACGAGCCTCCTACAAAAACAATTAGATCAAGTGCAGTCCTTCGGCAAAACGAGTGGGTTGCGATAATGAAGAATATGCTTATATCGGCGGTAATCTACTGATATAAACGATGAGACACCCTAGCTTAGCTTTTGTTAATTGTAAGAGTCCTCTGATGCAAAAACGCCACAACTAATCTGTTATAATGCCATAAGCCCATAATATGAATTTCGAGTTCATGTATTGACATTTTTTTCATAAAATGATGGCATTATTACGGTTAATACTGTTCGGTTAATTTATGCTTAGCATATTTTGTTTTTATGGCCGAAGTGGTAGAGTTTTTCAAGGTTATACAAACTCATTTATTCGATCGCATTTCAATTTTCGCAAGGTGGTTTCATCGCAGCAGAGTCATTCACATAATGGCTTGTCGGTTGCGTCTTACTGCCACAACCCCTGACTACAGCTTGAAAAGGTGTGCATGAGCCTCTATCGATATTTGTGGCGTTTTGAAAGATTTATTGCAAATAGGAAGCGCTTGGCAAGTTTTTACATCCATTTTTCTTCAACCTATTTAATACAAAAAAATCAAATAGTACAGCCATTTTGAAAACAGGCAAAAAAAAACTTGATTTAAAACAATTGTTTTAAAACAATTTTTTTGAACAAATCCCTACTTCTGAGAAAAAATTCAAGCGGCGAAATAATTTATTGAACGATTTTCAACTATACCTCTTTCATAGCAGTACACGTTTTTATATCTTCTGCCAATCACTAAAAGTAAGTAGTAAATACTGTCCATTTTCACAACTTTTGCAAACCCCACTTGTAAGTCTTCTATAAAAATACTACTCATCATAAATGACAGATATATCGAAGCGTTTATTAGCACGATAAAAATCATACACATCGTCGCAGAAGATTTCCAGTCCATACTTCAGACAGAATCAAATACTGTCTGGTTTTGGATTTTTATTCTATACAAATTCTTAAAATTAAATCGATCAGCTGATCAGTTATCCGAATCCGAATATCAGTTATGACACATGTATTTCAGGAAATATTTTTATTTTTTTGAGATTAATTAATATAAATATTGATATTCGAAATTAAAATGAGAATTTTCGACTTTGTTCTATGTTTGTTTGGACAGCCGACGTCTATTTTCTGTCGTTTTCCTTTTGCCCACCCCATGAAGCACTTGGACCGTTTATTGGAAACTTCTTGTATCTGGCAGAACTCAGATAGTTACCAATTGGCGGCAGTGATTCAAATATTTTCATGTAATTTTGAATATTGGGTGACTGGTCAAAAATATCGGTGAAAAATAGACGATGATGGTCGAAGGTTTCAAACAAAGCAAAATCAAGAAAAGACAAGTCGTTTCCCATCAGAAATTTCCGATCTTTCAAATATTTTTCCATCAAATCTACTTTTCCAGATTGGTTCTTACGGAGCTCATCGATTTTCTCATAAAGATCGGCGCCATATATATATCTGACAAATCCGACTCTGATGTCGTTTATCACTCCTTGAAGCATATCTGCCTGTCGTTGGTCTGTTTCCGATGTTGGGAACAGATTAAATTTTTTCCCAAGATATCTAAAAAAAAATTGCCCACGAGGATAACATCGACTACGATTTGACAAGACAAAATATGATTTGACAGAATTGACAAAAAGTGAGACCAATTTATTATATTAAATCGGATAAATAGCTAATCGGACGATAATGTATCTAATTGGAATATCATTGAAAAAATATTTAAGGTCTGTGGTCAGACGTGTTTAGTATTTTCATTATAAAATACCTATAAATAGCCCAACTCTCGGTGAGTTTGACGTCACCATCAATTATGTAGGGAAGATTCGGGAAATCCATTCCCAAGCTGAACTTTTCGGCAAACCATTTTTGTCCATCGGTCACAAGTCTATTTTCATATTCTATTCCACCATACTCTAGAAGCATTCTTGCGGGCTCAGCAAACCCCCGTAGATCCCAGTACGTGATGACAAATTTACCCATTGTCTATAGTTAATTTACAGACTGGAAAGTGATATAAAAATATCAACATATCAAATTTAACATTATGACACTCACAGTTTATTTGTAAAATTGTTCTGTCTCACTGCCTAAAATCAAAAACGACCATTCCCTTATAAAATCAAGCTTATTTCCAAACCGATTGAAATCACAGCTAACATCTCTTCTGCTATTTATATAATTCTTAGTTACTTCTATACGCACTAACGATCAGCCAGTCTCCCCGCTAAGTTAGATAGCATAATATGTACATAAAATGTGTGGACATCGAACGACGAACGCATCGGGAAAACAAGTCATTACACAATATACTACTAGCCTTTTGGAGCTGCCTTAATACACACGATACAATCTTATGATCGCCTGTAGATAGAAATCGACGTTGCTTCTTTTTAGTTTAGGCTGCCTATATGTATTTGCTTTCATTTGATCGAAATACTGAAAATCAGACCAGCAGACTACTACAAAGCCTAGTAATAGCAGAACCTGAAGCTTCAACTCACAATAACGAGACATCGATAACTTACTGAAGTCCCACTTCAAATGTGGACGATTAGGTAACGGCATGACGGTGCAAATATTGAATCGGTAGCCAATGTTTAATTTTCACATAATATAAAACGGGAGAGCTCTATTCAAATTCAAAGGCAACGTGCGGACTCCCAATTTCTAATACGAGCTATATAACGCTATTTTAAATACATGATATTTACGAAGAAAACTAGGTTATACACATTGAGCCATCTCATAACCGTAAAAGTTATGTCCTGCCATAACTATATGTATATATGAACGAATGGGAAATATACCAGTACAGATGCGTGTGGAAACAATATCTTATGTTAACAGCGTGTGCAAATGGAACAAGTTCGCTATGGCGAATATTTTGCTCAATTATGATTATAACGTACTACCGCATAATAAAATATTATTTGTACACATTGATGTACAACAGCCCAGTGAAAAAAGTTTTAAAAAATTTCCAGAGAGTTTGAGAAGACAGGTATCGATGGAACACCAGAATGAGCTAAAGTTGAATTCAAGTTGGATAAGACGCTTATATACCGTAAAATATAAACCAAATTATTAAGGTTGACGTTCAATTTCGTAGATGCCAAGATTTTGTTCCTTCAAGTAAACTCACTGTAGTCTGTACTATTTGAATTCACGCATTATAATCAGTTACCTGACTACATTCTCTCACATGATATAAACGAGAGAGTTTTTTAAAGCTTTCTTTGAACAGCAGCTGGTGATGTCGCACAATCGGTTTGAGTTGTGATATTCCGTACATATCTGTCATTTTTTGTGGCTATGACCTAGAGATGGCCGCGATTTGAATAAGCAGTTGGATTCGAGTCAACGCATTTCAAAGACTGGGATTCTATATCTAGTATTTGTCATTTTTACCCCCTCCTTTATCAATTCTGACTATACCAATTTACGCATCCTTCTATGTAAGTTGCGTTATGGACACTTGCGTTATATTTATCGTATTCCGAAAGTTATGTCCTATTTATGTAAAGCATGTCATGTTAATGCAGCCTACATAGTGCCATGCATATATTTTATGAAATGAGGGAACCTGTTGTTTGTGAGTTAGATACAAAACCTTCATTTATTATATTTGAAGCCCACTACTATATGTACCGCGAACCCACAATACGGTGTTATTATTACCCAAAGATGTATGCGCTGTTTGAAATCAATTCTTCGTTGTTTCAAATGTTTACACATATAACATTCCTTATTCTATCCACACTCGATTTTGATTTCGACGGTGATAATTTTCAAGACGATTGAAATAATGTCACACATCGAAGATTTTTGCAAACACATCACCAAGTTATAAACAAACGGTTCATGGCCGTTGACTCTAAAGCAGTGCTAGTCAACCTTTTTTGTAATGGTACAACCTTTCAGCCAATTCTTAAAATCTGGTACACCCCGCTTGTCCTACATTTTTAATACGTAAAAAACTCAATATTTAGAAGTTATATATACGAGTATATATGTTTACTTTGGTGCAATAGTTTATTATTTAGTTAATTCGACCGTTGCTCTTGGATTCCATCGACCTATGGTTATTTTTTGGATTTAATTTCAATGAGTGCAGCCAACGCTTGTTCCGAAAGGTATGTCGTAGGGCTGTAGGCATTCGTACGAGAATGGAGAAATCTTTCTGTGAAAGATGGCGATACTCTGGAACTTCTAATAGAGCTGCTTAAAATTAGTTGTAATTTTTATATGATTTGAATTCTGCTATTCGTACAAGATCTGATTGTAATTCACCAGTTATGTGGTCAAGAGCAACCTTTCCAGTTGTGAATAGCTGAACGGCCCATATTAGAGAACTAAGATTCTGATATTCAACATCCGGAAAATAGGCATCGAAGTTTAGTAGTAGCACATCAAGATGCTTACCGTGTTTGCCCGAGAATAAGCCATGGTCCTATTTCAATTTACTCTCTAAAATTATCACTAAGACTTATTTTGGGGGATGCTTTTTATTTTTTTTATCAAAAACAAAATTACAAAGTATAGAATTCCGAGATTTTCAAATATACTTACTCACTTTTTATTTAAAATAACTGATAAATATAGATTATAATCTTTTGAAACGTGTATATGTCTTGCTATCGAATAGGTCAAAAAAAAAATTTGAGCTATCGACTAGGACTAGGTCTTATCATAAGGGGAGGGCCTATATTGAAATCATTTAAAAAATCTAGGTCTTATTTTCGGAAAAACAGGGTATGTACAATTGATCTCCTCTTGGTTTTCATGTCTGCGTTTCAATTTTCCCATTTCCTAATGAAATATTCCAGACATTCAAAATCGGAAAAATCACATATCGATACATTATTCTGCCAAAACTTCAATTTAAAAGACTCAATCTTGCTACTAGCTTCAAAAATATCACATTCTTTCCCCTCGATAATTTAAACTGATTTGTGATTTTAAATATTGCTGTTAGATGAGACAATTGTGCAAGCCGAGAGATATCTTGAAAACTAGCAGCCATCGAAAGTTTTTCCTGGGTTAGAGGCATATCGTGTGATAGTGTGTACCTTACAACATTCGGCACGGTACACCTTATCGACGTGGTACATCCTTCAAACTTTTTGGTACACCCTGGGGTGTACTGTACACCCAGTTGACGAGCACTGCTCTAAAGGCAGTTTCGTTCTGCATGCATACATGGCATCGTAGATAAATCTGGCTTTCATTTAATTTCTGTCAATAAATTGAGCTCAATGCTAGATGACCGAATGTTACAAAGTATTCTAATCAGACTTATCTGAGTTTAGTTTACAGTCTACAACGGTCTCAGTTCACAGCAATTTGCAAGAATTCAATGCTTGAAAAATGTACAAATAACTCGCCCACAATTGAAATGTTTAAAGCATAAACCAAAATGAAAGTCGTCAACAATTCTTAATAACATCGTAATCGAAACATAAGATACATCATAACATGATAATATTGAACATATGATATTTTTTCATGTCAAGTAGTGTTATGATTCATGAAAATTAGTGTATCTTCTTTCTAAGGGAGAGTTGTGATCTGAATTCGCTACCTGTTTCAGTAGGCTGAAGTTAGTCAGTTACTGGCATTTTATTGTATCTACATTTCCAATTAAATAAATAACAGAAACTTGGCATTTCCCAAACATTTATTGGTGATTGACATTGTCCTCGAAAATTTATATTTATACCACGCGGTTTGCCAAGGTAGAGTGAAATTGCTCCTCTTTTACCGTGACTACTTATTACAGTGACCTTTCTACAACAAATACTTACAAACTATGGGCAACAGAACCTTCAAAAACTTAAAATGGCGAATAATTTATTTATACAATTAACAAATACATTGAATAAATATTGTTGAACCCCAAGCCCGGTAAAAAAATGACAGCACTAATGATGCTGTTATTCAAATTCTAGATTCGCCACTTTCTATATTTATGGTATCTATACGCAAGTTTTTCAATCTAGGTTATTCACCAAGAAGTAACTTGAATCTAAACTACCCTCAACTCGATTGCAAGTGTTCTGAATTATTAGCATCAAGTTAAGAATTCTCACTAATACGTAGTGTATTATGAGTACAAATTCAATACGATGAAATAGCCGTAATGAACCCATACGTCGCTCAATGTTTTTAACACTTAAAATAGAATTTTCTGACAATTAACATTAGACAGTAACTGCGGAATGTTGCGCATGCTTTCTGATGTCGTCACTTTCTCAAAGTAACTGTGTTGAAATAACAGGGAAAACAATTAATCCATAAACTGTTCGCATCATTTAACAAAGCGAGTGAATAAACTGTAATCTTCATTTGAAAAAACGTTCGAGTGAATACACAAAAAAGCAAATGCAGTCTTCGGAATTTTCAGAGTGAATCCGCGAATGAGTAACTCCATCTTCCAAAATCTGCTAGTAACCCACATAATGCTTTACTTTGCAGTGCTTGAGCTAAGGGGTGTGCAACCTTTATACGAAAATTCTTATCGTAAAAATATAGCCCCGCTAGAGTAAGATTTTCTACATACGAAAGGCCGAAAAACGAAAACTTAAAAACGGATGTAGTGATCTTTGTTCATTTCAGGTAAATTCAATGCAGTGCTTGAATAAGGGATGTTCAATTTGAATTTAATAATCGAATATCGCGACCTTCGAATATCGTTCTTCGTGTTCGTAAGAATACCGAATATGGCCCACGTATCCTAGCGCCGCCGTCCAAGTTTTGATTTAAAATATTTTACAGTTATTTCATTTTTTGTCGTAAAGGAAGGCAGCCGTGCGGGGCGTGGCAATAAATTATCTGCCATCCCATTGGCTTAACGCAGGTACGTTAAATGTGTTGCTAGCTAAATTCAGTGTTAAGAGTTAAGACAATGATACGATGAAAAAATAAATGAACAATTGGAATTTTTATTTTTGTGTTCTCATTTTTGTTCATTACGCTCTCTCTCAGTGGTCAACTTTTG